GCTGGGGGGAGAGCATTGGGGCAGGTTTGGGCTGGAACCCAACCATCCCGATAAAACAGGTGGTGTTGTTGGTGCCAGTCCTTACACAAAGGCCTTGCAGAGTTCCGTTCCTGTAACTGACACAAACCAAACTCTACACAGTTTGCTCAGCTCTGATAGGCATATTATATTTGTGTGTATATATATATATATGTATATACACACACACACTTCTTCCATAGTATCATCATCTATTTTTCTCCATTGTTCCTCATCATTGTCTTTTGATTTGTGTCATATATTCCTGTTTTGTTCCGTGCACCTTGCTCCCTGACTGAGTTTTCTGGAGGTCCTCTGCCCACTTGTTTTATCACATCTGTTTATTGTTCCCTAACTTAGGCCCCAGTTCAACAAGGTACTTAAGCATGTGCTTAACTTTAAGCACATGAGCTGTCCCACTGAAATCACATTCTTAAAATCTATGCTTACTTCCTTTGCTGAACTGAGACCACAGGGCTCAGGGAGCCTTACTAGGCAAAATTAGTTGTACTCGATGAAAGTGGAGGACATCCACTCTGTGCCTCCCTCTCTCCACAAAAGGAAGATCTGTGCTGTAAAACCTTGCACTCTCCTCAGCCTCCCCTCGGCCTGGGTGACAGCTACAGTCCTGCTTGCTTCATTCATTTTCAGAACTGGCTGAATCTCAGAGGAAATCCCTTGTGCTGTTCTTGCCTTCAAACCTTATCTGAGGTCACGGAAGTAGCAGCGCAGACAGTGACAAGTGGGTTTCTCTCCTGCTGTCTCTATACTATCCTCCATCCTTTACATTATGTCCCAATTTTTGAAGTTTTCATCGATTACTAGGCTTTTTGCCTGTCCCTCAGATTACTATTTTATCTGCAGAATGATTTGCATATTGATAAGACTCAATATTCCATGAAATATTCCTTGTGTCTTTCAGATGTGAATCAGGATATACTGGACAGCACTGTGAAAAGACAGACTTTAGTATTCTTTATGTTGTACCAAGCAGACAAAAGCTGACACATGTCCTTATTGCAGCAATAATTGGAGCGGTACAGATTGCCATTATAGTTGCAATTGTCATGTGCATAACAAGGTAGGTAATTATAAAAGCAATATAACACCACACATTTTTATGTATGTGTGATTATTTATTATAAATGTATTTAGGAACTTGACTGTCCCAAAGCTCTATGTGCGTAACACACGTTCTAAAAAATACAGTGATCAAATATAGAATGATTAATGTGTCCAGGCTGGTTACATGATGCCTCTGTATTTATCACAAAATCTAAATCAGTCAGGACAATAAACTACCCCTTCCCACACAAATCACCGCTAGCCGCTCCATTCCCCTCCACCAATCCTGTGCCAAAAGCTGAGGAGAAAATATGAGCTTTACAGTAGATTCCAAACATTAGCAAATTGGTTAGACCAGTGGTTCTCAAACTGTGGGTCGGGACCCCAAAGTGGGTTGCGACCCCGTTTTAATGGGGTCACCAGGGCTGGCATTAGACTTGCTGGGGCCCGGGACCAAAGCCTGAGCCCCACCATGCAGGGCCGAAGCCCAAGGGCTTCAGTCCTGGGCAACGGGCTCAGGTTACATGCCCCCTGCCTGGGCATAGGCACCGACTCAATGGGTGCTCCGAGGCTGGAGCACCCACTGGGAAAAATTGGTGGGTGCTCTGCACCCTCCGGCAGCTCCCCGCCCCACTCCCCCACCCCAGCTCACCTCCGCCTCCGCTCCGCCTCCACCTCCTCCCCTGAGCGCGCCGCGTCCCTGCTTGTCCCCCCTTGCTCCCAGCACTTGCCGCCGCGAAACAGCTGTTTCGCACGGCAAGCGCTGGGAGGGAGGAGGGAGGAGAGGGAACGTGGCGCGCTTGGGGGAAGAGGTGGGGCCAGGATTTGGGGAAAGGGTTGGAATGGGGGCAGGGCAGGGCTGAGGGCGAGCACCCACCGGCGCCCGGAAAAGTTGGCGCCTATGTGCCTGGGGCTGAAGCCCTTGGGCTTTGCCCCCCCCTTCCCCGCCTGGGCTAGTGGGCCTCGGGCTTTGGCTTTGCCCCCCACTCTCTCCTAGGACAATGGTGCTCGGGCGGGCTCAGGCTTCAGTCCCCCTTCCTGGAGTCGTGTAGTAATTTTTGTTGTCAGAAGGGGCTCGTGGTGCAGTGAAGTTTGAGAACCCCTGGGTTAGACCAAAGTGGGAGATACTTCCAGAGTAGAAGCTACCTCATGAAAAACACCATGGCCCCTTCCCTCCACCAGAGGATATGTGGGTTCAGGCCCCTCCACTGATCATAAATGCGGTGCTGTCATATGGAGAAAGGTGCATCCCTCAGGTACCCAGCTGCTTAACCATTTAGGACTTTATTGGTTAAAGCCAACACCTTAAACTCCACCTAGAAATGAATGTGCAGCTAGTGCTGTCTGTAGAGCGCCCGTGCAATGTGCTGTCCCTGTTAAGCTCCTCTTAGGAAATGAGCAGCTGAATTTTGCACTCTGTTAAGTTTCCAAGATATCTTAAGAGATAGCCCTGTGGGAACATGAGTTGACAAAGGCACAGATAACTGTAGTGAAGTCCAGATCCTCTTCTCGTCAAGGGCCTGACCTCATAAGGCACTGAGCACTTTGGCCCCGATCTAACAAAGCTCTTAAGCATGTACTCACCTTTAAATACGTGAGGAGTTCCAGTGAAGTCAGTGGGGTTAATCACATGCTTAAATATTGTGTAGGATCAAGGCCAGAGTGCTTTCAACACCAAATTCACATGAAAGGCATCTCTCCTGACAACAGCTGCTACCACAGTAGCCTGGGATCTCATAGACCCTCCAAAGTGCCAACCCATAGATGCCAACTTTTCCGGGCGCCGGTCGGTGCTTGGCCCCTCCCCCGCCCCGACTCCACCCCTGCCCCACCCCCATTCCAATTCTTTCCCCAAATCCTGGCCCCGCCTCTTCCCCCTAGCACGCCGCGTTCCCTCACCTTCCCCCTTCCTCCCAGCGCTTGCCACACGAAACAGCTGTTTCGCAGCGGCAAGCACTGGGAGCAAGGGGGGACAAGCAGGGACACGGCGTGTGCAGGGGAGGAGGTGGAGGCGGAGCGGAGGCAGAGGTGAGCTGGGGCAGGGGGGCAGGGAGCTGCCGGTGGGTGCAGAGCACCCACCAATTTTTCCCCGTGGGTGCTCCAGCACCGGAGCACCCACAGAGTCGGCACCTATGTGCCAAACTACCAAAGCACCGGTGCACTTCCCCAGTCAGTGATGCTGATAGACACTACACTGTTATTGAGATTTTTGGTTAAAAGAAGAAAGTAAAATCATGAATGCTGTTTTAAATATGTAGAATAAGATTAAAATACATTTTCTTCCTCTTTAAAAAAATACAGAAAATGCCCTAAAAACAACAGAGGACGTCGACAGAAGCAAAACCTAGGCCATTTTACTTCAGATACATCATCCAGGATGGTTTAACGTGATGATTTTTATACCTACATTGACCATGTGATGTACATTTTTATTATATCTTTTTTTAAAGAATGGAACTATTTATTTCAGAGGCCTTATTTTTGGACATTTTTAGTGTAGCACTGTTGGTCTGTTGTATTCTGAAAGCATCAGCTCTAACAGCTAAGGACTGTTTTAGTAATTTTCCTTTTATGTTTTTGAATACTGTAGTTCATTTTCTGTATCTGTATCACATGGTTATATAGTAGATTTGTGCTTTATTCATGGAATGTAATATTTTTGAGAACACAGACTTATTTCACCAATGGTTGTAGATAAAAAACAAAAATACCCAACAGTACCTAGCAAACAAGGCATGAACTAAAGGTAAAGATGTTTACAGCTTACTTTTCTTACGAAAAAACTAGGAGACACTGTGTTTAAATACCGTAGATATTTAAATGTTTTTGAAAGTTAGTAACTGATTTTTTAGACACTGCCTATCGCATGAACTGTGAAGCTGTGTACTGTGTGTAGTTGTAACATATTTATAAAATGTATTGGCTGGGTCTAAGCACTACCGTCTTCATAAATAATTCTGACACTTTATTTTTAAAAAGTAAAAATATAAATTTCATAATCCAGTAGAGCAAATGGCATAGTTCCAAAAGAAGTAGGTCTTGGTAGATTTTGTTATTGTAAAAATCTGTGTTTGAATAATCAAATTCACATGATTGGAATAAAGCCTACTTTATCGCTGTTAAAACTGCTTTAATACTTATTAAACTTTTTTTAAGACAATAGATGTTTTAACACCAACAAGACAGATTGTATAGTGTTTGTGATTTAAAAAAATAAAGTTAATTAATGACTAGTGCTCTTGTATAGAATATTTTCAAGAGCTAAATAAAGTCCATCCAAATTAGTCTGCTGGTTATAGTTATATTAATAGACTGTTAGTTGTTGTTTAAAAGATCCAGAGATAAAATGTGAGTAGGATGTGTTCAGCTGTTTAACATGTAGTTTAGGCTTTCAGAATTCTGCATGTAGGATTTAATAATTTGTTCAATAAAAAAATGCTTTCAACATTTGAACTGGAAAAGCATGTCACAATACAATGTTTTCACTATATTGCCTCTGCTTTAGTGTGTTTATTTGTTACTTGATTTCGTAGCCAGAGTGATTTGAAAACTGCTCCTTTTGGCTTAAATACACTCATGTTTACTTTTGAAAACTGTCTGAATTCCCCCAAAGGAAATCATTTCATTGAAATGAGAGCAACAGTAGATCTTAAATAAATATGCCAGTTGGCTCTCCTGCTTAATTAGTAAGTTGCTTAACTTTCCCAGATTAACACTAATAACTTCACTAGTACAGAAGTGTGACCCTTTAAATGTATGTTCCATTCCAGACATTGCTTCCTAATTTTAGAGGTTTCATATTGCAAAAAGTATCCAAATAATCATGGAGGGATAGTCTGTAGTTATAAATATTTGACCATTCTCCCGGGGTGGAGTTTCACACCCTGCTCTGAACATCTCTGAGGCCAGCTGTCAAGCTTCTTGCACAGGTGCCAGAATTGTTTCCCTGCGATTTGAACAGTCATCGTGGGGAGCATTTATACTTCAGTTCCTGTAAACCTGACTGAACACAGAGAAAATGGATCACCATGAAGTTACCTCGGAGGCTGACAAAATCCATCAAAATCGTCTCTCAAATGTCACAGAAGATGAAGAGCAAGATGCTGCATATACAATTGTGACAGTCCTAGATAAAGTGGCCAACATTGTACACAGTGTACAGGAGAGTCAGAAAAGAATAGAGGAGCGACACAGAGAAATGGAGAACGCTATCAAGACCATACAGATTGATATTTTAAAGCTTGCCCAGACTCATGGCAATACAGGCTATACTGTTAACAAGTTGCTTGAGAAAACCTGCAAAGTTAGTTCCCACATTAAAGAAGTGAGGGCACGTGTGGAAAAGCAGAGTGCTAATGTGCGAAAGGTTGAAGCAAAACAAGAGGAGATGCTGAGAAAAAACAAATTTCGGGTTGTAATATACCAGGTATGAATGCACTTTAATTTATTTTACCTTTGAAGTTTTGCCACATCCTTGATAGTTCCTGGGAAACACTAGTTGTTTAACAAATCAAAAGACAGGTAACACAGTCTTCCCAGTGTAGGAGTTGTGTTATAGGTTCTTTAAAATTGATTTCTGCCTCTCAGTGTCTTTCAACACGAACCCACTGATGGCAATTCACAGTCTATTATTAGTATCGGTTGGCTTTTCAGGCAGGAGTGTAAGATTAACTGCAGATCAGCAAGGACTATTTGTTGCCTATGTGAAAGGTAATATGAGGCAGGCACTGTAAATCTTGTCATGCTAGTCATGCCTGACAATCATCTGTTATTTTTTCACCATATTAGGTAGAAGTCCAAACAGTAAAACTATTTATGGAGGCTCCAGAATTTAGTCATTCCTTTAATGCTAATTTTCAAGTGTAGTGTATTATCAAGGTTTTTTGTAGCTGTGAAAAGCTTTTTCATGGTCTCAATTCATAGGAACGAATATTCAAAACTAAGTTCAGACCTGCACCCCCTTATCACACAAGCCGTCCTTTTGCATGTATCTCACTGAGTGCTTTGGAAATACATGACTAAGGAATACTAACATGAGCAAGGTTTTGCACGATCAAAAACAAATCATATATTTTTCTTACATTATGATTATTTTATAATGCTACTTGTTCTTGTAAATGAATAAATAGCCATTGTTCTTATTGTCTGAAAGCAAGTTGCTTGAAAATAAGTTTCTTGTCCATGGATCATACAAATACAAAAAAGTTAACCATGCTAGGGGAGTTACAAGGCTAGGCCACTTACTGGAAAATGCTGCAACACTAGGTGTTAATGACTTGATCCTGTGAAGTTCTAAGCATGCTCTGTCAAGCTGTCCTGCAGTGACACAGGAGCATGAGTACCAACCTCAGGGCAGACTGCTAGGAAGTGGAGCACAAACCCCAAATTCTGTACTTAGATTTCACCAACCAATTATCCAGTGTAAACTCCTCAGGCTCTCTAACAGCCATAACATAGAGTCACAGCCCATCCCTTTGGGAACTCCAGTCTGTCTTGTCACCCAGATGGGCGGACGTGTGATAGATGGTCCCTGACACCAAGTATCACAGCAATATTCAGGTTATTCCCAGTCCCAAAGAACCAGCCATTTACCCCAGGTCACGACAATGCTTGCAGCCAATCCTATAATAACCTCTCTACAGATTTATTATATAGGAGAAGGAAATAAGAGTTCCAATCTTAAATTTCAAAAAAGTAATAAAAGCTTCTATAATAAACAAGCTCTACATGTCCTTAGGGCCAACTCACGCGAAGCACTGGGGATCTTTTGCTTATGCCTAATGAGCCTTGCACCCTAGCGTCCAAGCAGCATAAAGATACAGTTCCTCTTTGTTAGGGTTTTTTTATTCCCTTCCCCCCCTGTGCTTTGAGATGCAAACTCAGCTAATGGGAAGGATTCACTTGCAAGACTCATCTCCATAGAGGGGAGAGTAAGCAACAAAGTCTTTTGTCCTCTTAAATGTTTCACTCTAGTCCATCTGGTGTCGATGGGCCTTCCTTGTCAAGCGGGACATAACTCCTGTTGGAGACCAGCATTTCACACTAGTTAATGGCTGTCTCTTGCCTGGTGATTTACAGTTACAGAGGCTTACAATGCAAACACGCAGCTATTACCTTGTAATGTGGGATACAGACATTATAAGTGAGATTAATGCCTGCAGCAACTCACAAGCATTCCATAAAGTCTAAACACATTCTTATCATTCTAATACCGATGTGAACAATACGAACACCCAGGTGAGCCAGACTGATTCCAGCGAGGTATTTGTCAGTGTTCAGTTGAGGCCTGGGGATCTGAGCCTGAGCTGGCACCTGGTCTGCTCGCATCACATGCTCGACTCCTCTAGAATTCAGTGGGAACTGAGGATGCTCAGCCCCTTACGAGGACCCTAAAAGTTTTGTTCGTGTCCATCATTTATCATGACGTATTCTTTAAAGTAGCAGTGAACACACACAAAGAACTTTTTTCATGTCCGTGATCGGGAGTATTCATCTGAGAAAAGTTACTCATGTGCATAAGTGTTTGTAGGCCGATTTAGCTTTTAAATTATTTGATTTCTAGTAAGAGGAGGTACTTACTACTTACTCTGGTTAGCAATGAAAGTGCTGGTGGAAACTGATGATAGCATAAAATCTTATCAAATACAGATAGTGGGTCAAATTCTTCTCTCATGCCTATGTGACCCAGTGACCCTGATGAGGCTGCACAGGTGAAAGTGAGGGCAAAATCTGGCCTAGTGTTTTTAATTTTTGCAAGCTGCGTTAATAGCGCTCACTCCGCACCATTATGGTAGATATGAATGTAGATATTCTTTGTTTTTCCTTGCAAGTAATCATATTGCTGGAGGAAATGAACATCTTTGAATCCTTTGTCCGTTGGTGGGGTGCTGCTCCATTGCTTCCACTCTTCCATAGTTGTTGTATGAGACATTTCAACATAGTCAATGTTCCGAAAATATTGGGGGGAGGGGGAGGAATGGCTAATTCAATACAAAAAACATGATGTTTATTTTTTCCCACAGACATGCTTGTTGTCATTTATTTTCACATAGTTCATGAAAAAGCCTGTGGAAGTGTCCGACCAGAGATTTACACAGAACCAGAAAAGACAACTGCTGCTACTTTTATTGTCTCTTCTTAGGAGACAAAGGAGACTTTGCTGAGAGCCTCCTTGCATCTGATTTTCTTGAACAGAATCAGCATCTTGAATTAGCCTCTTCACTCTTCATGTTCCCATCCCTGTTTAGATCAGCTACAGCAAGAGTGGATTCCTCTTAGCACGTATCTACGCTAAAAACGCTACAGTGACACAGCTGCAGGGCTGCAGCACTTCAGTGGAGACACTACTTATGCCAACAGGAGGGATTCTCCCATTGGTGTAGGTAATCCACTTCCCTGAGAGACGGTAGCTAGGTCAACGGAAGAATTCTGTCTACATAGGAACTTAAATTGGTTTAATTGCACCGCTCAGGTTGTGGATTTTTCACACCCCTGACCAATGTAGTTAAATCAATCTTTTCTAGTGTAGACCAGGCCTCAGTCCCATCCCCCACCCCCTCCCACACACACACTCATTAGCTAGTGGAAACTTCTTTTATCCCCTATCTGCTAATCCTCTTGGGATGCAACATTTAACACCTTGCTGGTGGGTGGTAATTGTCCCCATTCCAGGAGCATTAGAGCAGAGTAACCTGCTAGGAGTGTAGTGAAACTTTACACACTGTGCTGGTGCAAGTCACTTTGTACAGCAGTGCAGTGCTGCTACACCAGGGGCTTGGTCCAGTGCAACTACACTGATTTAGTGCAAACCCTCCCCTCCAACCCCCTGCCCCGCAAACCACCGCCAAGGCATTAATGGAGTGAAACGTCACTATAAGACAGTCCATTGACATGCACTAAAGCAATTTGGGACTTCCTCGCTACTGCACTGTATGCTAAATTGCATCATAACTGAGTTCATTATTGCGTTGGGATGTTGGAAGGGAAGCCTTCATCTACAGTGGAATTTTGCCTGAGCGGCATTAGGGATATTGTGAAGGACTGTGCGTAATGAGGGGAACGTGACTTACCTGTTTGGATCAATGAGTTTGTATTTCTGTAATGGCCTCTGTCAATCAGCACAGCAGGGTTCTTTTATAAAAGCAACACAGAGAAAATTGTCCCAGTTAATTTTTCTTAATTAATAGTTTTGATACAACAATTAATAGAGGCAGAAGCCAATCAGAGGATGCTGGCCTAGAAATGATTGTCCAAGAGCCCTTCATTCCTCACAAAAAAGAGTTGGACGAGCCCTTATGCTAAATGGAGTCCTAATGAGAATCTTTGACCATGCGAGTTAGGGAAGTGAGAACCAAGGGGTGGTTTACTAGACATTGTTAGAACTGGGGCTGAGAAGATAGTTGGGGGTTCAGTCTACAATAGGGTTAGCAAACTGCAGAGTGTAATTTGGCTCAGGTCAGTTGGAAGCAAAGCAGGTTCTCTTGCTGGCTTGACCTCAAACCATCCAATAAGAATTGAAACCTTCCAAACTCAACGCAAGTGGGTTTGAGGCTCAATGTGAATATTTTTCACTGTTCTAGAGATGATTAATTTTTAAGAAGGTCAGGTAATGGAGAGAGAGGCAGCCAGGTACCCCTGCCACCCAGACAGTTGTCATGGTTAAAGTCACAGTTTTAGTTCAAATTGGGGTACTATGTGTCCTGTTGGTACTGCAGTAGTATAGTTTGGAGGGACACAACTGTATAGGTAAGCAGTAGTCTCAGATAGGTTTGAGGAACAGCCCAGAGAAACTGATGTTTGTCTGCAGTAAAGTGGTCTTTGGCTATTTTAGTCATTCTGGGTAAATAATTAAAAGATGGAATTAAAGTGTGTGCGTGTGTGTGCATGCTTTGTTTTTTTCATTTTGAAGGAATCTGTTCCTTTTTTTTTTTTTTTTTTTTGTTTTTTTCTTGGAACTCTCTGGTCAAGATGGGAGTTACCTCAGTTAATTTTTTTTTTTAATTTAGAAGTTATACGCTTAAAAGAGCCTAGGAACCAGTTAGACAAGGTGCCTGAGGTAATGTCTTTTATTTCAGGAACTAGTTACAAAGTCCCGTAGAAAAGATGTCCTATGAAAGGAATTCTGGATCTCACTCATGGCTACTGACTTTCACATTTGAAAATGCTTTGGCAATCAAAGTGGGCATTCCTAAAATGAGTTGACTTTCATGTTTTGGGGTTGGCCTGCCAAACAACTTTGCAGCCTTGTACCACACCATAATTGACTCCTCTCCACCATGATCACATCACTACACACAGTGCAAGGGCCTGGAATTGTGAAGAGGGTTGGTGAGTTGATTCGCTGGGATACACTCCGAACCTACCTGACTCGTTTACATATATAGAAATAAAAATACAAATGTGACAGAATCATTAGGTCACCATCAAACTCCTGTTGCAGCTCGGTTGGTTGTGCACGGTTGGCTGGACACAGGTCTGGCACCCAGATGACATGATGCTGCTGCTTTTGAGGTGCTCCAAGTAAATTCCTTGAAGGTTTTTTAGAGACAATTGTCTAACTAAGCTGATGAATGTGGTGCCAGCTTGGTCCCCAGTCACTGCAGGGTTTGGTGTGCAGTCTAGTGAATTTTAGTACTTACATTGTGCTTTACAAACTTTAACTATTTACTCTTCATATTACTCATGTGGCATAGGTGACTATATAATCCCATTTTACAGATGGGGAAACTAAGAAAGAAAAGTTAATTGCCTTAGCTAAAACCATAGAGAGACTCTGTGTCAGAGCAGGGCTGTAGCAAAGGAATTGCCTTCAGGGCCATGCTTAGTCCACTAAATCAGGTGGTTGGTCACACTTCTGAGTGGACTGCACCTGTTGTGACCAACAGCCAAGTTGGCGCTTCAGTAGCAGAGCCAGCTCAGTCATGTGTGAGTGAGCCCTAGAGCCATCAGTGGTATCTCCGGCTACTGCCCCCCACAACTGTGAATTGGCCTGTGGCCCTCCTAAAACACTGGAGGCAGAGCGGGAGACCACAAATAGCCTGTGCTCCTTAGGAAAAAGCAGTTACAACCTGTCAATGCTGGAGTGACAAAATTTACCCTTTCGGGGATTTGTTTACAAGGAAAGAAGCTTGAAATTCAAGGGGGGTGGGAAAGGTGAGATTAGTCTGATCATTTAGATCCCTAAAAGGCAGCTCATGGCTATGAACTTCATGGGCTCTGTTCAGATGGGATTATAAACCTGACTCCATGTGTTTTCTGAACCAGTGTAATCAGACTTATCCAGACTTACTCTTCTCCTGTGATGATATGAACTAGGGCAAGTTAATAATCCTCCTATAGCCAATCCGGGAAAATGAAGTGGTGAAAACAGCGGATCTTACTTTGCATTTGTATGGGACCTGTTTTCAAAGTTTTGCTTGGGTTTGGCCTGGAAGGCACCAGAATAATGTAGTTAGATGATCACCCTCCATTTCCCATGCCACTTGCCCAAATCATTAGACAGCCTAGATAGTGATTTATCCATAGGAATTGTGGCTGATCATTATAAAAGTCTCCATGGTGCTTATCCTTTTGGCTGATTCTACACTGGGGAATGGAGTTCTACTTTCCTGTGACTGAACTTGCCTTTCAGGATGAGTAGCTTCTGATTAAACTCTATATGCCAGTGAAGACTCCTGAAGTCATTTTCTTCCATGGGTGTTACAGGACTGAAGTTGCTCAAAACAGCACATTTGCAGAACTGGGAAAATCTGAGCTCGTCAACAGCACGTTACAGATTTTTAGTGGTTAGCAGCAGCACCCTGGTATACAGTAACTCCTCACTTAAAGTCGTTCCGGTTAACGTTGTTTCGTTGTTACATTGCTGATCAATTAGGGAACATGCTCGTTTAAAGTTGTGCAATGCTCCCTTCTATCGTCGTTTGGAAGCCGCCTGCTTTGTCCACTGCTTGCAGGAAGAGCAGCCCATTGCAGCTAGCTGGTGGGGGCTTGGAACCAGGGTGGAGCAGCAGCCCCCCATCAGCTCCCTGCTCCCCTAAGTTCCTTGTGCTGCAGCCGCCCAGCAGGCTATCAATCGGCAGTTCAGCTGTCCCTCCCCCCACTGCCATGTGCTGCTCCTGCCCTCTGCCTTGGAACTGCTCCCAGAGACTCCTGCTTGCTGTGCAGGGAGGGAAGGGGGGGCTAATGTCAGGGTGTCCCCCTCCCCCCTGTTCCTGCACCCTGCTTACCCCTTCTCCATATAGAGCAGGGAAGGGACATGGACGGAGAGAGACAGAGAGAGCTTGAGGCAGCAGCTGCTGTCTTAACTTCCTGATCCACTTACAAAGACAATGCACTTAAGAGTGGCTCAGCTTACTTAAAGGGGCAGTGTGCATCTCTCTCTCCCTCCCACACACAAGGTGTGTGTCTGTCTCTGTCTGCTATGCTGTCTCATCTCCCTCCTGTTTGTGCTGCCTTGATGAGAGGCTACATTAACAACTATGTGTTAACCCTTGAGGGCTCAGCCAAGTACTAGTTCATCATTTAGCAGCAAGGCATTTCCTGGGAAATATCCCTCCCTCTTCCACCCTCTAACTTCACCACCTCAACCAGGCTTCACAATCATCATAGCTGTGGACAGTATTAAATTGTTTGTTATATAGATATACACGCAGTATATGTTTTAAATATATAGTTTTTTGTCTAGTGAAAAAAATTTCCCTGGAACCTAACCCCCCCATTTACATTAATTTTTATGGGGAACTTGGATTCACTTAACATTGTTTCGCTTAAAGTCGCATTTTTCAGGAACATAACTACAACGTTAAGTGAGGTGTTACTGTATTTAATAGAGCTGCATCTCTTCCAACTGTATCTAGTCTGCAAGAACCGTACCTTTTGTTGTTGTGGGCCAGGACTGAAAGCAGGTTATTAGCAAATGTCCTCTTTTATCATATCACCTCCTGTCTGGTCCCTGTCTCTGCCCCTTCTCACACATGCACATATTCTTTGTATCTACATTTAAAAGAAGCTATATAAGAAATTGCATATTTTGAACTAATAATGACAAATTCACAGGGCTGCCTATGCTGACACCACTCAACATGGAACCTCCTAAGGGGTACTTACTGAACTGTCAGGGCCTTCAGAGGTACTGATTCACTGGGCTTACTTGTTTAGCAAACTTTAAATGTGCGTATTTCTCTCACACAGCTTTCTTTCTGGGGCTGCAGCTGCCCTTTGCATCATTTAGAAGCTGTCCCAGGGACTGGATGAGATGGGAGTTGCTCAGAATGACATTG